TGCCACGTCGGGGATTCAAACCCCGGCAACTACAGTAACCTTGTAATGTCCTGACCGATTGGACCAACATGGTACTATGAAGAATATTATTTTAATATTTTTTTTTTCTTCTTTCTTTTTCTTTTTCTTACTATTTAATCAATTTAAATATATTATTCATATTATTTCTTTCATTCTTTTTTATATGCAATAATTACTATTCTATTATTATTATTATTATTATTATTATTATTATTTTATGTTTTATTTTGATTTGAGATTGTTTCTAGATGTATTTTTACTTTAATATCAAAAAAAAAAAAATTTTTTTTTATTTTATTTATTTGTTTATTTTCTTATCTAATATATTACTAATTATTATTATTATTATTTTTTTTTTTTATTAATTTGTATTATTATTATTATTTTTATCTATTTCTTAAATTAATATTATTAAAAAAATTTTTTATTTGTTTATTATATTTAATTAAGATAGTAGTCTTGATTATTTAAAAGATTTTGATATAATATTTGATTTTGATATTGTTCTTGATCTATACCAATTGAACTTTTACTTTTATTGTCTATATCTGGTTGTTTATTAACATTTAATTGTTCATTAACATCCAATTGTTCATTAACATCCAATTGTTCATTAACACTCAATTGTTCATTAACACTCAATTGTTCATTAACATCCGATTTTTCATTATCATCTGGTTTTTCATTAATATCAACGTAGCTAAAAAGAGATTCATCTATTGACAATCTTGGTGGTAATGAATCATCATCTTCTGCATGGGATACCATTACCAAACTCTTTCCTGATTTTGGTGATTGTAGAATATCATTTGATGAGGAATGTAAAGAAGTTGAACTTATTGGTAAAATAACGTTTTGACTTGAAGAATTAATAATTCTATTATTTCTATCACTGTTACATTTACTTATTCTTCTCCATAATAAAATAGCTCCAATAATTGCTAATAAAACAAGAACAATTATTAAAATAATTATACTGATAGGAAAACCTTTACTTTTTTTATTATTATTTTTAGAATTAGGGTTAGTACTTTTATTTTTATTACTTGCTTTATATTCTTCGACCTTTTTAAAATCATCATCTGTACATTTACGTAAATTATTAGAACAAATAGTGGAACCTTCTTTTATACATAAATTAGTATTGGCGTAGGAACATTCTTTTACACCATGAACATCTGGAACATTTCCTATTAAACCTTTATTCCCTTGAAGTTTTCTAATAATTAAGAGGATTAAAATTATAAAAATTATAAAATATTCATATTAAAATTATTAGGGGGCGAAGATTATTTTAATATATATAATAATATAATATTTAAATAATTAAAAATTTTATAACTTTTAATTTATTTATTTATTTATTTTAGATCTATTTAATTATAATATTTAATATATTTACATTTTTTCAATTTCTTTAAGTTTTGTTAAGCTATCTGGTATTATACCACTAAGCTGATTATTTTCAAGATCCCTTTATTAATTGAGGCATATATTAATTATATATGAAATAATAAATATTAATTAATAATAATAATAAAATTAATAATTATTACACAAAGCGTCTATCCTAATATATATAATTTAATAGTAGTAATATTTATAAAAAAAAAAAAAAAAAAAAAAAAAAACTTACAAATTTTTTAATTTTGATAATTTACCAACAGTTTCTGGAATGCTTCCTTCTAATTTATTATTATCAAGACATCTAATAATAGTAATATAGTAATAACAATATTATTATTATTATTATTAAATTAGTATCAATATCAATTTTTTTTTTGTATTGTATTTATCATATATATATTTTTAAAAGACTTTTATTTTAATCTTATGAACGTTAATTAATCTAAACTTACAATTCTTCTAAATTTGATAATTCCCCTATGCATTCAGGTATACTTCCATTTAACATACTATTATAAATATATCTTTTAAAATTTATAATAATAAATGAATAAATAAATAAAAGATAATAATATATTGATAAGCTAATTCTTTATAGAAATATAATATTTTCTAAATATTAAATTTTATATAAATTTTATAATTTTAATAATTATATAATTAAATAATTACAATCCAACAAGATTTTTTAATGAACAAATTTCTTTTGGAACCGGACCTTTTAGATTTTTATTTTCGCTGAGATTTCTGTTGTTAATTTTTGAATGTTTTAAATTCATAAATGTAATAATTAAATTTATAATGTGTTAGTATATTATTACAAATAAAATGATATATTCAAAATTTAAAATTTAAAATTTGAAATTTATATATTTTATTATATTATATATTATTTATTTTATATAATTTTTACATATATATAAGCTTTGAAAGGGAGCCTATAGTTTCTGGAATGGTTCCTGTTATTTCATTATATTTTAGATCGCTATGTGTATTATTATGAATTTTAAAATATATAATTATTACAAAAACATTTTTATACAGAAATTGAAATATATTTATTTATTTATTATTATTATTATTAATATTTCAATAATATTTACAGATATTCTAATTCAGATAAAGAACTAATTTCATTTGATATAGAACCCTTCAATTCTTTTTTTTGTAAATCTCTGATATTTATACAATGAAGAAAAAAAAAAAAAAAAATATATATATATATATATATATATATACTTATTACTTTATACTTTTTAAAAAATATAATTTTTATTAATACTATTACAAATATATATATTATTATTAAAGAAATAATTACATTTTAGTAATTCTATAATCTTTGCATTCAATACCCTTTGTTGAACAACATTTATTAGTATTTTCCTTCCAAGTAATTTTACTTTCTACTTGAAAGCTTTTATATATACTTGACAAAACATCGCAATCAGTTTTACCATATACGAATACTAAATTGGACAATAATCCAATAGTTGTTATAAATTGTAATAAAAATTTGAAAAACATTTTCATTCTAAAATTATTCGAATGGGTATAAATATTTTTCTTTATTCTATATTATTTCAGTAAATGTTAAAGGCTTAATATTTAAATTAAAAAGTTTTATATTATTATTGATTCCTTTCCTTTTTAATTTAAATTTATTATATTTTATTAAATACTTTAAAAATATTTAATAATTTTTATGCAAAGTGAAAGGAAATTAATTTCCTTTTTTTTTTTTTTTTTTTTTTTTTTTTTTTTTAAATTTACTTATTTTTATATATGTAATATTAAAAAATTACATAAAAAAATTTTTTTTTCTTTATAAGGTATAATTATTAGTTTTTCCACTTTTATAAGATTAAAAATTTTATTCCAACACCAAATAAAAATTTTATTTTCTTAGTTATTATTAAGGATATATAATAAATAAGTGGATACATAAATAAATCTTTAAATTAATATATTATATTTAAATAAATTTAATATTTTATTGTTAAGGTTTTAATTAATTATATAGTATTATTTCATATTAAAAATTATTTATCTGGGCTTTTTAATTTTGCTTATTTTTTTATCTATTTTTTATTTTTATTTTATTTTATTTTATTTTATTTTATTTTAAATAATTATCATTAATTAAAAAACTCATAATAAATCAATATCAGTAAAATCAATAAAATAAAATCAATTAATCAATTAATAAATCAATAAAAATAAAATAGCAATATATAAATAAAAATAAAAATAAATAAATAAATAAATAAAAAATAAATAAATAAGCTAGCAAATAAATAAATAAATAAATAATTTAAATTATAGAAATTACAGCTAACAAGTTAGTCACTGTCATTGTATTAAGTAGTAAAAAGAAAAAGTTTGGTAAAGTTTACCTATTTTTTTACTTATTAGTTATAGGCTTTTTATAATATATATATATTATAAATGAAGAAATTTAATAATACTAATAATTAATATTAAATAATACTAATTGTTAATAAATGAATAATTTAATAATAGATATGAAGTTCAAATCACATAATGCTATATATTTTATTAACAACCAAACAAAAAAAAATTAATCGATAAATAATTTATAATTTTTCTTTTTTAATTCAAATATCACATAAAATAAATTTCAATATTTTTTTATTTTTTTTTGTATATATTTGTGTATTTGTATAATGTTTGGTAAAAATATTTATTATATTAAGTATTAAGTAGTAAAAATATTTATTATATATTAAGTATTTATTATGTTTAATTACTAATATATTTGTATTTATATAATATTAAATAATTAATTATAATTAATAGATAATTATTACACTATAAAATTTGTGTAAAATTTAAACTTATTCTATTGGCTGATTAATATTATATATATTACACAAAAGTAATTGAATTAATTTTTTTTTTAGAAAAATAATTTAAACCAATTTTAGGAAATATTTGTATATCTAATATATTTATTAATTAAAATAATATATTAAATTATATAATTAATATATAATATATTTAATTTACAATAAATTGCATTATTTTAATTTTAATTATTGTATCAATTATTAAACTTTATTTATTAATATTTTTATTTGATAGATTAATTTATTTTTAATAAAAAAATACACGTGTCTTTAATTTTTAATTTCCTAATATGGATTTTATATGTAAAACAACAACAACAAGAAAAAAAATATTCCACATATTCTTTCTTTAACTCCATGAATTAAAATTTTAGTTTAAACTTTATTATTATTATTATTATTATTATTATTATTATTATTATTATTATTATTATTATTATTATTATTATTATTATTATTATTATTATTATTATTATTATTATTATTATTATTATTATTATTATTATTATTATTATTATTATTATTATTATTATTATTATTTTATTTTTTAACCCAATCAAATAATCAAATATATTTATAAAATAGTTGCAACACATCTTAGTTAATTTAAATATTATATTTTATTATAAATTTCTTAATGAGTAAAATGGAATAATTGTTTAATTATAAATTTCCGAATGAGTTAAAAAAAAAAAGGAAATAATTGTTTATTTATACAATATAGTACAATGGTATATAAAATTTTGAATAATTTTATTTCATTTCAATTGTTTTG